AGCCTAGACTGGCCACAAACTCATAGAGTCCTCCTGCCTCAGCCTCCCAAGGGCTAGGATTACAGGCATGCACCACCACATCCTTAATTTTTTACTTAATATTTAACAATCTTCTCACAAAACATCTAATGAGACCCTTGCACTGCTTTTCTTTTCTTCACAGTTATCTGATGATGGTCGCTATGTCTTATTATCAATAAGGGAAGGATGTGATCCAGTAAACCGACTCTGGTACTGCGACCTGCAGCAGGAATCCAATGGCATCACTGGTAAGTTATTTTTCAGAAATAGATAATTATTCCAGGAAGCTCCATTAAAAAGCAGTTATTTTGGTCTTCTAATTGATTTCCCAAGAAATTGTTCCATTCTACCACATCATCTCAATTATTGTGATCTTTTTCCTTTCACTACTGTTCCATGAAATGAGAAAAACATTGGATGAAGCCAACTCTTAGCTTTGCATTTTCTCTGTAAATTGAAGTTAACCATATTTTCTGTTCTTGAGTGTGAAAATACCCTGTGCATATTGCGGATGAGAAGTGTTAAGAAGCTAGCACATTGGTCTGTAAAATGGTACAACTATCTAGACATAATGGAACAAACCGTCACAGGCAAGGAATTATTAGACCAATGAGAATTTACAGATTAACAGATAATCATACAACTGTTCAGTACTGAGCCACATACCCTGTAACAGCCTGGTTTTCTTCCTAAAGCTTTTTGTGTCACCATGGTGAACATAGAACCAGCCAGTTACAAATTCTGAAGGTGCTCATTTAAAAAATGTAATCTTCAAGCAATGGTATCAACATTGGCGTTAAGCATGAAAGCTTTTCAAATGCACGGTTTATTATGCTAAAGATTCTTAGGCCCTAAAACTATCAGATAGGCTGGCACCCAGATAAGGACATGAAACTAATTATACCATGGCCTGATTAACATAAAATAAGTATATTTTAGAGATACTTGGCACAGATTTCTAAATATACAATACAGAGTGCATTTCATGATTGTGTACCTTCTGTCTGATCTATATTTTGTGAAAGTATTTACTTCTGATCAGCATTGTATTTTTAAACTTCTTGAAACAGATTCACATGCTAACATTCTGAGATGTTAACAGAGCACCATTCACAAATATAACAGGATGGAGTCAGCAATTATTATTCTGGTGTTAAAGGTATATCCATATAATAAAGCTATGTACAGTGGTACCTTGGTACACGAATGCTTTTGTTTGTGAACAGTTTGGTTCACAGAAGCATTTGGCCAAATTTTGGTTTAGTTTGCAAACTCTGCATCAGGTGTTGAACACAACCACGGCCATCTTTCCCGCACAAACACAAACATCACCTTTTCCAGGATCGTGGAATGAATTAAGTTCGTGAACTGAGGCACCACTGTATTTTCTTCTGTTAAGAAGATCTCAGGAAAACTCCACCAACCATGGCAGTTTCTCATGCTCCAGGAGGGAAATGGAATTTGAATGGAACTGTGCTGGTGTCTTGCACACTTGTTGCTATGTGATTCTGAGCTGGTAGAAAGGGCTTGACCTCTCTGCTTTATTAAAAATTCTAGTTATAGTGTCCTTCCTCAAGAGAGTACTATTTTCATTTTCTGTTTATAACTTCATCATGTCTTTAAATTATTAAACAGGCTTATATTATTAAAAGATCCAAGCTAACAAATTAAAAAAATACAAATTGCTTAGTTTCAAATAGGGAAGAAAATTCCACCCATGTATTTGCATACTGAACTGCTATTGCCATATCCATGTTACTAAGAGATTGGAGTCTTTAAAGAAACTGAAAATTGCTAGCAAAACTCAAGGAAGCCTTTGTTTTCTCCTCAAAGTCTTAATCCCTGCCCCGTTTTATTATGCAGTGTTAGGAATTAAGAGAAGAGAGTGTGGTATGCAGAGATTGAGGTTCCCAAAGGAATATGCGCAGAGGTGCACTAGGGCCTCAAAACAAAATTCTACTCGGTGCAGTTGTGAATGAGAAGCATCTCACAAACCCTAAATGGCTATCTGAAGACACAGAAGGAAAAACAGATTTATTTTGTGTACTGCCCATTCACAACACAACTCACGTCTGTTATCCCAAAATATGTGAGGATTTCTTCCCACCAGCAAGCATGCAGGTAGTTCTATAGTAGACATCACCTGGATGTCTCCAATTCAGTTCAGTTGGGACACTATCTACCCTAAGACAGCATCCGATCCCACAAATAGGGACTCAGTCCCACTTTATACTCAGTTACAAGTCTGGGACTCTGAAACCTTTGACTGTTGGCTACCAATTGGGGTTCCACCACCCCTGCATTGTGATTGATTAATTTGCTAGAGTGGCTCACAGCACTTAGGGAAATGCTGGACTTTGATTTCCTAGTTTATTATGTGTTATTTTTAAAAGACATAAATAAACAAGCAGCCAGGTGAAGAGATACAGAGGTTTAGGCCTGAAAGGGTCCCAAGCACAGCAGCTTCTGTTCCTGTGAGTCGGGGTGCATAATCCTTCTGCTCACCCTCCTGGGAGCCTCTGCTTGTAGGGCTCTCTGAACCCTGTCTTTGGGGGGTGTTTATGGAGACTTCATTGCATAGGCCTGGTTGAAGCATGGACCATGGTGTGGAAATGTGGTAAGAGAAGGTAGGTCTGGTCTGATGCGTAAGCCTGAGTGGGGAAACTAGCAGGCCCTGTCTGTCCAGATTCTTCTCAGCCCCTCTGTGCAGCATTCCTTTCTCATGGTTAAGGGGCAGGACCTCTTCTGAAATGAGGGTCCTATAATCAATTGTCAGAGAACTCTTTTGGCTAGCTCCAGGACAGAAAGTTGGAGGAAGACGAGAGTATATGTTCAGTTTCTGTGACCTGCCTTGCGGAAGAGATTCTAATTCCTAAAGCCTGCCTCGGAGAGAAAAAGGAGCAAGGGAAAAGAGGGCAAGGGAAGGTCACAGAGATTTTGGATCTGAGACCTAAAGTACCCCAACATTATAAAAAAGACTGTGTTTTTCTTTCATCCCTCTGTAGCTGCTTCAGAAACAAGGACAAAAGGCTAAACACTTTAACCATAGTACTGTAGTTATTTAGGAAATAGCAGGAGCTATGTGAGTTATAAGCCAGGAACTGAAATATAAATATATCATAATAGCACAGATGGTAAGACCCTATTTATAAAATAAGGCAGGTGATGACCTGCCTTGTGACTTGGTCTTTCTTTGAGGTACTCGACAGTTGTCTTCTCTGCTTCTTGAAGTGGCTTTACTGCAGCTTAAGTGAAGAGGCCAGCACATAGCAAGCACTCAGCACTTAGTAAATGTTAACTATGGTTATTTTCCAAGTTATTCATAATCATTCTGTCTCCCTCACCCTCTCTCTCTCTGTCTCCCTCTCCCTGCCCTGTCCCTCTCCCTCTCCAGAGAAGCTTTAAGATAACTGTGTCATGTTTTGAGATAAGTTCAGATGCTAGGACTTGGTGTTAACTTAAATTTATTTGGGTCTCTCTCTCTCTCCCCCCCCCTCCACCCCCTCTCTTTGTGTCATATAGGACCTTACATTTGTTATAATTATTCCTAGATGTTTTATGTTTACAAAGTATTGATGGTTTATGAATGTATGTATTAGAATAGCAGAACCAGCATGAAATATGTATTAAGAGATTTATTGTAAGAAATTGGCTTATGTGATTATAGAGAACAGTTCAGCAAGCCTGAGATCTGTGGTCAGGCAGGGCAAAAGGCTGATGGTATTGTCCACAAGTGAAATTTCTTCTGTAGGGAAGCCTTGAATCTGCCCTTAGAGCTTTGCCACTGGTTGAGTCAGGCCTGCCCAGATTATCAAGAACAATCTCCTTTCTTAAATCAGCTGATTATGGACTTCAATCACATCTACAAAACATCTTCACAGCAGCGACATCTAGATTAGTGTTTGATTGATTAACTAGGCACATTAACCAGCCACCATGAAATCATGGAAAGTAAAGAACAAACAAGTCTAGGGATATTAACGTAATTTTCATTTTTTCATAAGGTTAATAAAGTGATCAGTGTTTGGAGTTTTTTAGGGCATTTGGGAAAGTAGGTTATGTCCTGTAGATGAGGAGACAGAGTTGGAAGTGAGGAATGGGATAGGTGGTTTTGCAGCTGTTGAGCTGTTGAGCTCAACTTGGGCCTTTGCCAGTGAGGGCTACCGAGTTCCTGATGCAGTTTGGAGCCTTTGATTTTTTTAAAATTACGGCTTTACTAGGATTAAGTTTGTGGATAATGTAAACCTCTGAATAGCAGTGCTGGGATTCTGAAAGCTCTTGATTTTGTAGTGATTGACCCAGTGGATATCACTTTCACCCTTATGTTCAAAAGTGAATTACACAGATCAAGATTAGCAAGATCTTGTTTGTTTCTGGATTGATCATTGGATCATTTTGAGTCATGGTTATGACTGTATAAAGAAAAAAGTTGTCCCTTAATATCTATGTGGGATTGGTTCCATGACAACTACCAGATACCAAAACCCACAGGGACACAAATCTTTATACAAAATGTTGTAGTGCAGTATTTGCATGTAACTTACATACATCCTTCTGTTTACCTTAAATCATCTCTAGGTTACTTGTAATAGTTAATGCAATGTAAATGCTATGTAAATAGTTGCTCTAGTGTAATGTTTAGGGTAAAATGTCAAGAAAAAGTCTGTACATGGGAAGTACAGTTTCCGTTTTTTCCTAGTATTTTCAGTCTGGCTGGTTGAATCAGAGATGTTGAACCAGCAGATCAGGAATGATGACTCTACTGTGTATATGTAACTAGTGAGGAGTTTCAGTAAATTTAGTCTCTCAAGAGGGAGGCAGCAGGTGGAAATAGTCATGATTAAAATTGCTTAGTCTCTTTATTTCATTTAGATGTCTTAGGACAGTAAGTACAAAGCTTTAAATCAGTTTTGAATTATAATCTCAGTTCTACAACCAAATAGTTGGTAACCTTGGTAAAGTAGTTTTTCCCTCTCAAGATTTCCATGTCTGCAAATGGGGAATTAAAAGTAATAATGAAAATGCATAGAAAGGACTAGCAGGATTCCTGGTATTCTCTAGTTTTCCATCTTTCATTATTTCCTTTTTCCTTTTTTTTTTCTTCCTTTGAGAGGGGAATATTTGGAATTACTGCACTTTGGTTTTAGGTAACACAGAAAAGTAGGTTGAGGGTATCTTTTTAAAACTTTTTATCTTAATTGTCAAAACTACTCTAAATACAGATTTTAGTGTCAACTTGCTTCTGCAAAGCCAAATTCATAATCAAAGGAGTCCTTTAAATATAAAAAACATAGATATCTTTGCCTTCAGTGGAGACCATGAGGGAAAAGACCTGATTGTGCAGGTTAATAATTGAAAATTCAAGGGTTTACATGGCCAGTTGGTAAAAGTGACTACCTTCTTCTTGCTGTTTCCTTACTTGTTCCCCCAGTTTTGTTATCCTTTTAAACTGAGAAGAAAGATAAGTAACATTTAACTTAAATGCACTAGTTAACTTTAATGTTGGATAAGTTAGTAAAGAATGACTGGTGACTGAAAATTAAAGCCAATATTAAGAAACCTCTACTTTTATATTACTGACATCTGTATTCCTTTTAATAATCTTAAAGCCTTTCTACTTTAATTTAAATCTTTTTTTTTCCTCAAAGGCAAGTAGAATTATCAGTATTTTTCATATAAGTTAATTCTTTATTAAGACATTTCAGAATTGCATTCCTTAAAATAATTCCACTTACGTGGCTCTTTTCTAGCATTTCTATCATCTTTATCTCCCAAGAATACCTCCTACCCATGTGCATTTTTAAATGAGAAGTACAAAAAAGTGGCCAGGAGCAATTCAATACAGTGGTACCTCTGTTCATGAACTCAATTCTTTCCATGATTTTCATCGCAAAGCAAATTGGATGAGAACCAAATCAGATTTCCCCAAAGGTCAACATTGAACCTAAACATTGGATTTGATTTGGTTCTTATCCAACTCAGTTTTCAACCAGAATGTAGCAGCTATATTGTAGAAAAAGCATATAGGGAGAACAAAACCATACAAATATAGGATGGAAAAGATCTTGGGCCGGGTATTTAGCTCAGTGGCACCATGCCTGCTTTACAAGTGCAAGGTCCTGAGTTCAATCCCTGGTACCAAAAAAAAAACCAAAAACAATTCTTGAGAGTTAAATGAGATCTCTGCAGAAGTGGATTCATTTTGTCTTATAAATTTGAATTGCTGGTCTTTCCCTTGTTGACCATCCTGCTTGCTGCCTTAGAGTGGTGTCTCTTCTGGGACCTCTGCTTCTCTTTGGAGAACCTCACTTCCACCATTCACATTTGCAGTCCTCCTATTAAGAATAAGAATAAGATATTTGTTACAGACTGGATCACATCCTTCCCTAGTAGCTGCGGTTGCTGCCCTTCCCCACTGTTTCTGAGCAGGCTGTTCCCATGACCCACCTTGTACACCCCTGTGTAGATGACATCGTGCCTGTCATCTGGGCCTTGGATGTTTCTGTAATTTTTCAACTCTTCAGAACAGTTAACAAGTCCTCTGCAAGGAATCTTTTGCCTTATTTCCACTGGCTGTCAAAGAAACATGGTGGGAGTTGCTGTCATCTTGCTTTGGAAGAAGCAGCACTTCTGCCTCTGGGGTTCCCAGGCTGCCCGGTGCTGTTTTGGTACTCTTCACGTTGTTGCTTTGTCTCCTTCCCTCATGTGATTTCCTGCTGTCTCCATACAAAAACACTTAGGATAAGGATCTGTGAGCTGTAGGATCCCAGGGACCTTGTCCATCTTTCTCTCTGGGGAGTCCCCAGCTCCTAGATAGTGATGGCAAACCTTTTAGAGCTTTCAGTGATAGCAAACAGCCTGCTGTGTCACATATGCCATAAATTCACCACCACTGTACTAGGACCATGCCTGGTGGTCTCATGGTTGATGTGCACCAGCTTGTTTCAGATGACTGCACTGATCCCTGAAGGGACCTTTGTGTCCAGTGTCCCTGCCTAATAAGTCATCCTCCCTCTGTCCCTGTTAATTTATGTGTGAACATTTTGAATCTTTACCCCTGTGGCCTCCTAGGTTTATTATTATTACTATTAGTAAATTTTTATCCTCTGTTAAACCCTGAGAACGTTGGCTTACAGATCCTATTCCTTTCAGTCATATATATATATATATTCATTCATTCTATGAGCAGAAGATTTTTCTGCTTTTCTTTTTCTGTAGCTTTTTAAAAATTAAAGGTGAAGAGGTATCAAATTATGATAAGGACACCAAGGAAGTGTGATATTTTATTCTGTAGTAAAAGAGACAGCTGAGTCTCAACTTCTCTGATTCTTCAAGTGATTGATATCTGAAGATTTATTGAAATTAATCATTTTGAACCTTGCAAAAAAATTCTCTTGATTTTCTTAGTTATATTTTTTTGTACTTTCCTAAATCAAAACTTTCTTTTGAACTATATTTATAATATATATTTTATACATATATAAACATACTTTAATAAGTTTGCTATAATCCTATTTTCAATATATGAAATTGCTTCATACATTTAGACTAAATTTAGAATAAATTTCCTCATATTTTCTACCTTATAGTTAAATATTAGGCCTCAGAGCTGATCTTTTCTCCCAAATATGAGAGCCTCTAAATATGTACTTTAACACTTAAGTCAACTTATATCTTAAAAATATAAATATGTTTACAATTATATAAATGTATTTAACTTAGGGGTATGTTACTAAACATTTATATTAGAAAAGTACAAGATGCTGTTAACGCCTTTAAAATTTAAATTTGGTTCCTTTTGTTACGTTTGGGATATAAACAATTGTTTAGAACAAGTGTCATAGTTGTGTCTCAGTCCGAAATTTAGGACTCTGCGGATTTAGATGGGAAGTGGACGTGTATCAATGCCCCCCTCTGAGCCTGGTGCTCTGTCTGATGACGAAGGTGGTGGCAGCATGATTCCTGCCCTCTGGGGGCCCTGCCTATGGAAGAGTGGACATGGAGATTGTCACGCAGCCTTCCAGGGCTTGTCCAAGGGACTGTGTGACCCAGTGCACAAATCCAGTTCAGAGGCAGGGCATTTCTGAAGTTTGAAAACTCTAAACTCTTCCTTTCCCTTCTCTGTTTCCTATCTTGTATATGTTTACTTTTCTTTCTGAGTCTTTCATTTTTCTATAGGTCAGATACTTTATTGGAAAAAATAAGGAGCTGACCTTATTCTGAAAAAAGGAGCTGACCTTATTCTGAATAGATTTTAAATGGTGCCAGAGGTTTTTAAATAGAATCCTTAAGAAACACTTGTTATATGAAGAGAATTGTAAGTCTGACATCCTTGTTGCTAGTAACTTAATAGCATTGTACCACATAGGCATCCTTCAGTGGCCCTTCCAAAGTCTCTGCTTGGTCACAGAGATTGTGCAGGGTTTGGAGAGCAAAGGTGGTAACATACTGGTTTTTGGAAGGAAATCTGAGCACACTCTGTACTTTGCTCAGACTTTCACTAAGCTGTATCTTTGCTTTTTCTGCTGTTGCTACAAGTTTGATCATTTCAGATTGATGATGTTTTTAGTATTTTGCATTTTAATCCTTTCATGTAATTAAAGAAAATCGGCCTTTCCTGCATAAATTAATCTACACTGCTTGCTAACAAATAACCGTAAAAGGAAACTCAGCATTTATCAGACAGATGACTGTTGCTCCATTGTTCATACCTAGTGGGGCTGGGCATCCTTGGGGATTATGCTGGAAATGGAATACACCGTTGAGGAACTGTAACTAAATGAGTTGTCCACAGCTTAGCAAAATTATCTGAAGGTTGAAAGCCAGACCAATAGGGGAGGAGAGCTTCCATAAGAAAAGAGGAAATTGGCAGAAAATAATTATGTGTTTCAGAATGGGAATGCAATTAAAAAAAAAAAAAAAGCAGAAGGAGAAGAAAAAGAATTGGAACACCAAAAGGCCATAGGAAAATAAGTAAAACATGAAATTTGATGTAAAAGACAAAATACTGGTGTTAAAATTAGTATTTATACTAATTTTTTTTCAGTAGTAGAAATGGAACACAGGGCCTTCACACTAAGCTACACCCCCAGACTTCTTCTTTTACTAATTTTAAAATGAGTGATATAAGGACTTTTTTGCAGGAAAATGGCCATAGAAGATGCCAATTAGCTTTTTAAATTTCACTATTAGCAAACTGTTCTGTTCAGAGGCATCACATTCAGTTAATTTTTGTCAAAGGACACCAGATTTATCTGGGGTTGTTTGTGTGTGTAAGCGTTTCCTGTGTGTCAGGCTCTGAGCTACAAATGTAGATTTTTTTCATTCACTTTTCTCAGCAGCCTCTCAGGAACACAAATCACTCTCTCCTCCCCAGGAAACTGAGGCTGTGAGCCCAACTAGCTTTCCCAATGCCATTTAAAGACACCAGTCCAGGCCAGCATGATCCAGCCTGTGTTCCAGCTGTTACCGTGTGGCAGGAAGAGATGGAAGGAAGTCCTTCAGGCCAGAGGACAGCAGCTTCTGACCCCCTCAGCCTCGCTACCAAGCCTTGAATTTGTTGTCTACAACACGTGAATCCCATGTAGCTTTTGTAAAGTATAAAAGCACCTTAGTTCCTATTGTTAGAGAGCATACTCAACATTTTCTATGAAATGTAGTTAATATCATTGATGATTTCCAAAGAAAAGAATGAAAGTATGTCTTTGTTCTAGGAAAAGCAGAAGAGGATTTATTGTAAGCTAATCTCAGTAAACAAATCAGTCCCTGCCAAGAAACAGGCTTATAAAAAGCAATTTCAACTTTAATGTGGAGAGGTTTGGGAATTGAATTCTGCTGGTTTTGGAGTGAATAACACGACTCCCAGACAAAACAGCCTCAGAACAAATGAACAGAAAGTGAATGGGTTAAAGAGTTAAGCCACAACTCCTTTTTAAAAAGTAATTTTCTCATTTCCCATTTAAATCAACAGGGTTCTCACTTGTGAGTAGCAAAAATGAATGATCGCTGTTGTTCAGCTGAAATACCTTTTTCTGTGAATTATTTCTCTGCCAAAGGCCAGAGTAAGGATTCAGGAGAGCAAAAGGATTCCATGAACCTCCATGTAAATCATTCTGCCCTGCAGAGCCCTATATTTTGAATTATTTTTCAAATTTTATGGCTAGATTTAATCCAGCCACATTCCTTATTCTGAATGAGCTTCTGACTCACAGTATGTATTTATGGCTAAGGTTAATGCTTTAGAATTTAGTGAAAGAAAATGACCACAAACCTCTTTAAAATTTTGGTGTCCATTGGAACTTGGTTACTTAACTGCTACCTCTTAAGGCTCACCTGTATATGCAGCAGAGCTGCAGAAATTGCTACTGCATTTTGCCCCTGGTGCAAGCTGTGGTGACTTTGGGTGGGGAAGGGTCATAATAAATACCACTGGTTACGAGACCTTTTTAGGCAGAAACCACAAGATGGTTACTTTGTGAAATAAAGGTTTCACATCAGGAAATGATTTACTATAAAGCAGATATTTACAGGACCTGACATATTACCGAGCTAAGATTTTGTGTCTACAAATGTCACAGTCCAGAAAATTGTTTCTTCCTTCTCATCAACAAATGGAACTCTCTGATTATCTTCAAATTTTGAATTGTGAGGTAATATTTTACTTAGGTGGTATTCTTTTCAAGAAATGGTTTTTGTAAAGCAGTATTTATGTGAAGTAAGATGCACTTACCTATGAGTGGATCGCCTGCTGAGTAGTCTTTTGAGGTTTGCTGTTTGTCACTGAAAGAAAATATGTAATTGTAACTCAGATGCAGAGTTTAACCTTTTATGAGACTTAATTGTAAGGAATCTGTTTCTGGGGCTTTGGCAGATTATACATACACTCTGAATAACCTCCCAGTTGAAACAACTAAAATGCTATAAAACATTTATAAAGCATCTTTCTGAATACATTGCTAATTTGACACACAAGAAAGGAAACCATAGAAACCAAAAATAGAATGAAAGCAGAAGTCCTGGAATGGAAGCTGAATGGTCCTAGATGTCTTTGCTGGGGCGAGGGGGATGGGAGATAAAGCCTGGGTTCTCCATGGTGAAGAATCTGACGAAAAGTACACTCAAGGCAGGGTCACTCTGCCTATGGTGAGGCTGGAGAGTGCAGTGTACAGTAAGGAAACTTGCCTGGAGGGGTGTGGGACACAGGCTGTTGAATTTTCCTCTTAAAGCTGGAGAGAGACTGACCTTCACAGGGGTGCACATTGGTTCACTTGTGCCTGTGAAGTCCAAAAATCCTCATACCAAGAGTTTAAGTGTTCTTGGTTGGTTGTATTCCAAGAGGCGAGCAGAGGTGAGTACCAATCTTCCCTAGAGAGAGCCACTTCAACCCAGGCATGCAAGAAGTCCCAGGGAGAGTATGTCATGGGAAATCAGTGGTTTTGCAAAAGGCAAAATCAGACAAGAAAATTGGCCAGCATAAGGAAGAAGCACCAGCAAGAGTGTTAAATATGCTTTTAAAAGATAAATAAGCCGGGGATTTAGCTCAGTGGTTTCGCCGCCTGCTGCCCAAGCGCAAGGACCCGAGTTTGATCCCCAGTACCAAAAAAAATAAAAGATAAATAAGTCGGGTGTGGTAGCATACACCTGCAGTCTTGATGTTCTGGGACTCTGAAGCAGAAGGATCACGCGTTTCAGCCCAGCCTAGGCAACTGGGGTTGTAGCGCAGTGAGAAGGCCCTGAGTTCATTTCCCAGTACCACACACACACAATCAGTGCAGTGCTACTGTGAAATATTGGAGAAGCTTAGAAACATAAGAAAGAAACAAGATGTTGTAAACAGTGAGACATTTGGAAAAGGACTAAGTAAAACGTGTAGAAGTAAAGAATATGATCATTAACAAAAATTTAGCTATTAGGTTAACGAGATTAGACACAGCTGCAGAGAGTTAATAAAATAAGATGTAAATTTTAAAAGACCTAAAATACAGCAAATGTGGAAAAATAGGAGTTATTGGACATGAAGAACAAACTCCTTCCAGAAATGATAAACTTTTAATCAAGACAAGTGAACTAGAAAAACCTAGGGAGAAATGTCTATTTGAAGACTTCACAGAAATAATGAGAAAATGATTAATAGCTGATTTAAGATACTACTATGGGAATGATATATCTCTGTCTACCTTAATATCAAAGTAGACTTCAAAGCATTATTAGGAACAAAACTTGATAATCATAAAAGGTTCAAGTCAGTCTTTGTGTCATAATTTTGAATATGTTCAATAGCACAATTTTAAAATATAGGAAGCAACAGTGAATAGACACGAGTAAAAACAGACAAACTCAAAATTGGAGGACATTTTTTAACAGAACTTTTCTGTGACTAATAGAACAAATGGCAAAAAATCAGCAAATACATAGAAGATTTGAACAGTGTGATTAACAAATGATCTAATAGGCATATTTAGCATTGCACACCTGATGATTGCAAGACACATACTCTTTATAGTTACATACAGAATGTGTTAGTTACTTTTCTCTCCTTGCTGAGACAAAATACCCAACACCCAAAGTTGGAAGGGAAGGGGTTTATTTGGCTCACAGTTCATAGAGATTTCAGTCCATAATCAGCTGGCTCCAAGACAGGGGTAACAAACAGATATCACAGAGGAGAAACTACATGGCCCACACAAGGTAGCAAAGGCAACAGAGGTGTTTAACAGCATCTTTCTGCTCCTTTTATCTTATTCTGACTACCAGGATTAGGGCGATGCCAAATTAAACACTCACATGTAGTGGTTTAGTAATCCCACATCCTTAACCCGAGCATCACACATTCCAGATTCAACAGCCTCTGAGAAAGAAAGTCCCACCTCACCTGCATGAGGCTTTGGGGGGCATCTAAACACAAACCATAGCACAGAACATTAAAAAAAAATTTTTTTTAATATAGGCCACAAAGCTTTTCTCAGCAAATGTAAAAGAACTGAAATCATACGTATATTTTTTGAGCATAATCCGGCAGCCACAATTCAGTGCCAATAACTAAAGAATGAATGAATAATCTTACATGCCCAGTGAAAAAAATACAAGTTGTATGCAAAAGAGTACATGTTATATGATTTCATTATATATAAAGTTCAAAAATGTTGTAGAATTAGATTGTAGGGTATATGGGTGCACATACAGGTAGAAAAAAATACAAAGAAAAGTGAGGAAATTGCTGTGGAAGTCAGGCTGGTGCTAACCTGTGGAGGGGAGGGTTTCATAAGAGCATGGCACCGCTTCCTCTGTGTCAGGAGAAATGCACCGACTGTCTATGTGTTTGTTCTTCCAGATGAATTTTAGAATTAAGTCACATTCCCTAAAACTTTCATTTGCATTTTGATTGGTATTGTGTTAAATTTATTCATTTCCTCTAGGATTATTTGGAATATTGTTTGAAATATTGGGTCTTCCGTGTAGGGACATGGTAGATGTTTCTACTTCCTAAGGTTCTTTTGTTTTTATTTTTAATTTTTCTTAGAATGTATTTAGATGTGTTTTCATATAGACTACACAGTTCACATTAGATGCAGTTCTAGGTACCTATTAAGTTTGCTTCTACTGTAAGCGAGGTCCTCCTCATTATTGCTAGAATGTAGGATAGCTAGGAATTTTTTTAAATACAGATCTTATTAGACTTAATTCTAACTACTTGAAATATTTTTGGTGCATTTTTATTAGCGAATAGGTACCAGTAGTCATTTCCATAATAATTTCTACATTTTCTTTGTATTCTTAGTTTCTAGTTGAGAAAAATGAGACAGCAGGGGATAAAGTGATTGCTCAAGGTCACACAACTTGGTGGGAAAGCTGAGTGTTTTGGATGTGTCAAGGGGAAGTCATTGAAAGATTGTGAGGGCACCACCGTGGACCAAGTCAAGCAACATACTGAGACACTGGTGGCTGCTGTACTGAGAAAAGCGAGAGTGGCAGTGCAAAGAGTAGGCACAAAACCAGTGCTGTAGCCCGGGTCTTCTCAGAATTGGCACAGTTAATAGTCTGAGCTGACTGCTGCTGTGTTGTGTGCCGTACTGTGCACTGTAGCGTGTTTAGCAGCATCCCTGACCTCTACCCACTAGATGCCAGTAGCAACCCTCACACCCAAGTCTGACAGCCAGAAATGTCCCTAGACATTTCCAAATGTCCCTTGTGGACAGAAGTTCAGTTGACTCCAAGTTGAGAGCCACTGCTGTAGGCCAGGCCTGTGACAGTGAAAATGTGGCACAGTGTGATGGACAGAGTAGGGAGAAGTGCTCAGATTTGAGACTCCAATGGGAGAGGATTTGGCAGATTACATGAAGCAGGGGCCTAGGGGAGAGGTCCTTCAGTTTTTCCACATTGCCAGTGTTTTTTGGGCCACTTCAGCATCTTTTAAAAACCATAATTCATCCACAACTGGTCCTTGCTCTTTCTCATCCCTTAGAGTTTCCAAATATCATCTCTGCTTTGTGTTCTATAGATAGAAGAGCTCTACCCTCCCCTCTCTACATATAAACCCACACCAATTTTAACATCTCGGAGGTGACAGTGGTAGAGGACCTCCAAATTATGTAGGGGAAATAATATAACTCCCAACCTGCTAGATGTCAGATACTCTGAGTTCATGTTCCCCAAAATTGAAGATTGAATTCTAAGGAACAGTGGAGATTTAGAGTAGGAAATATTTGAGAAGGAGAGATTTTTAACTCCTGAGAGACAAGAGGGGCCCTGAGTGGGTTGCCAAGGTCTCCACAAGGGAAGTTTTGTAGCGCAAAATCACAAGGTGGGTACAAAATCACTAGATGGATACAAAGTGGGTCAAATCTATGATCAACCAATAAGATTACAGGTATAGCTGCTTAGGTAATATTGATTCAGTGGGGAGGCAGGTCACATAGCAAGTATATATGGAAAGAACAAAGAACTTTTTTAGAAAGGGATGGATCTGTAGGTATTAGTCATCCACCAGAGTGACTGATATCTATCTAGACTTTACTGGGCCAAGTGTTACCACTTATCCCTTGGGGAAGTACACAGGCCTGGTCATTTTGTCTTTATCTTGAGTCCTGGTCTCCAACAGATGCATCTCCAGGTGCAGTTGTAATGTGTTTTCATTTTTTGTATTGACTCTCTCAAGGGCCTAGCCCTGTTTTACTGCCTGTAATATTTCTACCTCACTTAGCTGTCTATAATAACAGGAATACTTGGTCTCTTCCCAGGAATCTTGAAGTGGGTAAAGCTGATTGACAATTTTGAAGGAGAATATGACTATGTGACCAATGAGGGGTCAGTGTTCACATTCAAGACGAATCGCCGTTCTCCCAACTATCGTCTGATCAACATTGACTTCACAGATCCTGATGAGTCTAAGTGGAAAGTGCTTGTTCCTGAGCACGAGAAAGATGTCTTAGGTAAGATTACAGGTTACTTGAAAATGGTGTTTTTGTTTTTGGTGAGAAAGCCAACAAGTTGGTCCATTTCATTCTCTAGTGACAGCTTATAAGGTGAAGAACCTTTGGCTTTCTGTTATTAGCACTGAGATGTCTAAATGGTGCATCCAAATCCTCACTACATGACATCTTTGTAACATACAATATCATGTGGAAATGCAGAGTCTTCATACAATTGTGAAGGATTCAGACTTTAAAAGGTACTGCTTTTCAAAAACAAGTAGCAGTTGTCCTTGTATGCTTATTGTCTGATAATAGCCACTGATATTTTATTCTTAAAACCATTTAGATTCATAAGCCTTAGATTTAAGCTTTTGAATAACCTCTGGCTGCTTTCATCTCCTTGTTGTAGATCTGAGGATGAACTTACAGTCTTCTTATTAGAAGAGAGAATAGGCTAATGTCAGACTTAATTGAAAACCATTGCAGTCACTGCTTTTAGTACTCTTGAGAACCTGTATTTGATGTGTTTGATGATGCCTTAAGGTCCCTTTCATCTGTTTTCTCTGATTTTTTCCAAAATTGACATGCTGGTTTATAAATTATTATTCTAAAGTTGAATTTGATTAGAATAAGCCTCACTGGTTTTGCAACTTTTTTACACAAAAGGAGAAGTCAGTATCTTCCATGAGTTTACTTGTTGGTGGTAAACTTCTGGTGATGGGTTGAATGAGGATAAAATCTAGGACCATTCATAAATGCAAAGGTGCATGGTACATAATTGGAGAAAACACATACCCAG